ACCCACCACGCTGGCATCACCCTGGTATACTTTACACCGCGAGCTTACTCTGGCTTTGTGTCCCCAACATTTAAAGCAGCCTGGCACACAGCAGATCAGGATGTATTGTTGAATAGTGAAATGACTAGATTTATAGTGGACATTAGTGGGAAAAATGGAAAACCTGTAGCCACATTCCTCTTCAAAACAGCACTGTCTTTTTTTGTGTGTAATACACTCCTAGGCTTGATTTCATGTGTGAATCCGACCAGGCCACGGGGTAGTCCGACGCCCCCTGGGCGTGTCCAAGAGGGTGCTGGGTGAGATTGCCACTGGGGTGAACAGTCAGCAAGGATGGGCCTCCCTGGAGTGGGTGAGCCGCGTCCGATCAGTCGAAGAACTGGCCAGGACCGAGGCTGAGGAAGAGGGCGCTCCCCCTCCCCATCGCTGCTCCAGACAGCGCCTGGCCCTCCTCCTCCTCGGACTGACACCAACACCAGGGCTCGTGAGTCCCAGCCCGGCCAGCTCTCACTCGGGGACCTCCACCCCAGCTCTCCTGCTCTCGTGCCTCCAACTCCGAGTGGAGCGGTCGGTTCGCCTCGGACTCCAGCTCGCCAGTGGCTAAGTCAATTCTTTACAATATTAATATTACTACTCTACGCTTTATAACATTTGTTATAAATATAACATATAATCAAATGTGTACATAGGGTCTTCACACAGTTTGTGGAAATGTGTGTAGTAAGAAAATTCTGCAGGGATTTTGAAATTCTTTGCACCAAAATAAACTCGTACTTCAATTCCACCCTCCACAAACTTTGCAAAGTTTCTGGAGTGAGGGTGTGTGTGTTCTGTTTCCCTGGCAACTCTGGCTGCTGTGCGCATCGGTGGGACCTGTGTCCTGCAGGATGGCGGAGTAGGGCACTTCAGCCGTCAGGGCGGCTTCTCCTACTGTTAGCGTTACCTGCGGGGAGTTGGAGCCGGGGCTGCAGCTCACTTATGGAGGGAATGGCTGCTCAGGACCCTGGAGAAGCGCCCCCTGCAGGGCCTTTCCCCCACAGGAGCCCGCTGCCCTGCTGAGACCGGTGAGTGGCTTGGAGAACAGCACGACTGATTGGCCGTTGGCCATCGTTGGGATTTGCCACCAAGGTCACGTGTGTTTGGAAATGCAGCCCCAGGTGTGTCAGGAGCTGAATCGTAACACTGAAGCAATCACTCCTCCTTCTAGTCAAACTTGCTATTCTCCTGCCTCCCAAGGTCAAGGGCGAGATTACGGTTTTGTCAAGATAATCAGCTGCTTTTGCCAACCCCTTCCAAAGCAGTCACTGCAGAGAGGTGGCACCTCCCCAAAAGCCAGCGAGGCTCAATGGCAGGAACACAGGAGTGGCTGAGGCATGGCTCGGTGACCTGCCCGTGGCAGGACAATGGCCTCCCTGAGACATGATTCCTCTGTGGGAATAGGGGAAGCCTGCCGAGCTCAGGCTGCCCGCGTGGACAGGCGGTGGCCAGCACCTCAGCCTCAGCATCCAGCCCACCCCGGCAGGGTGCAGACCCGTGAGCTGGGCCTGGTCGGGATCAGTCACGCTCCCTGCAGGCAGAAGTGAGAAGTAAACCGCATGAGCTGGGCAGGTTGCACAGCTCCATGGGGCTGTTATTCCTACGTGGGTTCGGCCCTAGGGCGTGGCGAGCTTGGAGGTGTGGAGGTGTCGGGGAGTGTCCTGCACTCTTCACCTGCTTCTGCTTCAGTGCCAGGCCCCGCGGGCTAGGAACCAGGAACAAGCCGGCCTCAGGCGTCCGCCTGCTCTCATCCGCGGCCCGCGCCTGCCCCCTGGTGGGCACTCCCTGCTCTGCCCGTCCACACTGGCTCCTTGCTGCTGTAGGGAGCCCGCCGGTGCTTTAAATGCGAGGACACCTGGAAAGGCTCACAGGTGGACGGGTGTAAAGCTTCCCAAGGTTCCGCGGAGCCTGCAAGACAAAAAGCTGACGGAGGTCCTTCCCCGGGCTGCCCAAGGCACCCCTCTGCACCCCTGCAGCACGCTAGCTCTGCTCGACAGACAGACCCGGACTCTGTGGGAGCTGGGAGACCGGCTAGGTCACCCCCCTCTCCGCTGCTCCTGTAACACGGGGTGGTAATGGCCCTACCCCGCAGGTGAAGCTCTGAGTGAGCTGCAGCCTGGAGGGCGCCTCTCGAGCCATACTCCCAGGGCCCTCCTGCTGTCTGCAGGCCCTGCCTGGATTCCAGCTCCGAGCCCACCCTTAGCGAGCAAGCGTGTTAGTGACCGGTGGCCGCAGGCCCAGCTCAGCGACCTTGCAGGAGTGTGGGGACGGAAATACGGACAAGCGCTTACTGTAACTATAACTTGGTGAAGGCAGTGGCACCCCGCCCCCGCCCAAAGCAGGCCGAGGCAGGGGACCTGGGTCCGGGAGGACCCGGAGGAGTCCTGGGCAGGTCTGGGGCCCTGCGGGCAGGGCAGTACACAATCGGGCTGCGTCAGGTCTGGGAAGTCAGTGCCCGGGGGGCTCCAGGGAGCCGTGAGGAGTGACCCCTGCACTGACCCAGGGAGGACAGAGGGGACCGAGCCCTGGTGGTCAAGAGTGTTCCCCAAAGCAGGGGCTAGCAGTCTCCGGCCACATCCTGGGCACTCCAGGGGACTGGGGAGCAGCAGCCAACCCGAGGGCAGGGCCGCGAGGCTGATGGATCACAGGCTCGGGCCCACCAGGGACCAGAGAACATGCCCTGCAGGCGTGCGGGAGAGCTGCCCTGTGGGTCTGCCCGGGGCTGGGGAGGCCTCCCCGCGATGGTGCCCATGTGAGCCCTAGGCCAAGGCAGGGTGTGCACGACCCTGTGGGCCAGGACAAGCAGCCCTCCTAAGCCCAGTCCCCCCTGAGCTGGAGCCCAGCAGGGCCAAGAGGTTTGATTTACACCAGGACCTAACTAGAGCTTCGTGGAGGGCGATTAATGCTGGGTAAACCCAGCCACATGTCAGGAGGTGAGGAGCACCGTCCAGGAAAATGAGAAGGGGTGGGGAGGGACAGGCGGTGAGGAGCACCGTCCAGGAAAACGAGGAGAAAGGGGTAGGAGGGACAGGCGGTGAGGAGCACCGTCCAGGAAAATGAGAAGGGGTGGGGAGGGGCGTCATGCCTGTCACTGCATCTGTCCCTCACACCTGTGCCGTGCCCCACAGCAGACGGCGCAGTTACAGGACAACTGCCCCCAGACCGAGCAGAGCCCAGTGCCCGCTCCCGACAGGCTGGGAGAGCTCAGGCATGGAGCCGTCCCCCATCACCACGGCTGCTCCTGGGGTGTGCTGGTCCCCGGTGCCTTTCCTCCTCTGTAAAACCGGGAGGTGACGGGGACTGCCTGGGAACACGGCCTGTGGGGACAGTTAGTGACGTGAGGAAGAACGGCCTGCCCCACCGGGGACACCACACGGGGACTTCAAAACGTTCCTGGAAGGTTTACCCTGGTGCAGTTTTCCAGCCGTGAAAAACTTTTCATAACACACATTTCAGGGAATTCGTGAAGACCCCGGAGCAAAGGAGCGGGAATGGGGGTGGGGGGGGGACAGCCCAGCAACCGGCCCGGGGCACGGCCAGGCGCCGGGGGG